CATTAAAATACTTAATCTTTTTTTATCAATATAAAAAATTTGGACCATTTCTTGATTTGTGCGTGTATGGATAATTAGGATGCTGGGTCCTTGTGGATTTGACAGATTTAATTTGTTTTATGTTCTAAAAAAACTAACCTGAAAATGCAGTCGGATAAGTACTGTTATGAATTTACTTTGATTTTGGTAATGATATTAAGTTGATGACTTAAATGTCGAATACAATTACATCAACTTTTTCAAATGTTGGTTACAGCAGTTATAGTCATAAATTTTTAATAAATGATAGTGGATTTTATTAGAATTGTATTGGTTCAGGGGGTCTCAAAATGTTTTACATGGTCAATGAGTTAGAACCATGAAAACTGGAAAAACCAGAAAATAAAACAGTGCAATCAGAAAACAAATATAGTGTCAATCTATCTGCCTTCCAGGTCTACAAAGGGCATCCACAACTCCTTCAGTTCAAGACTTCAGTGTGCCATCATGAATCTTATCTTCTTGATGAGTTTCTCCTTAGTTGTGCTCTTTGAGTAAAAAAAATTCTGTTGTTTCTTTCTCACCATAAACACCAGCATAAGTAATGGAATTGAGGATTAATCTAGAAGATTTGATAATTTCTATCTCTACGTATTCATGAAACACTCCTGCTAATTTGATTCTCTTAAAATTTGTAGAGGATGTAAAAGAGTTATCACCAGTGATTTCGTGAGATACATTGTCATACTTGGGAAATTGTTGGTTCACAGCATTCAACCAGACAAAATCTAGGCATTCCTAAAACCTAATTTATTGATTCAAGCAACCCTAATCCTAATCATCTAGGTTTTTTAATAACTGTTTTGGACTATGAATGTCGTTTCTTATTCAAGAGAAGCAGTTTAGCAGGACTTGCAAATTTCAATTTAACCCAGTGGGCTTGAAGAAATACATTTGCCAGAGAGCTATATAGTATGTGAATTCATTAAGTAAAGGTGATGAGCTTTTAGGAATCCAAAATGCATGATCATGAACATCCACACTGAGAACAAGGTAATTATTTCATCAAAAGGCAAGACAGGTAAATGTATATTATCAAAATTCTCCTTCTTTGGAATGTAAAGCGCAGCTGTTGTTTGTAGTTTAGATAAATTAACCACAAAATAGTTGTGGGTTGAAAAAGACAATGTTTACACCCTTTCTAGGCTTGTAGAGAGGGCCTGGTTGGGAGGGCTAGTGGCAGGTTTACAAGTAGAGAATGGGGAGGTGGGGATTGCTCTGCTACAATTTGCAGATGACACTCATTTTTTCTGTGTCGCTTCTTGGGAGCAAATTCTGGAATGTGAAAGCAATTTTAAGATCGTTTTAGGTGGTCACTGGTTTACATATTGATATCCAAAAGAGTGAAATAATGGCAGTTGGGAATGTCATAAACATAGAAGTTTGGGCTGATGATTGGGGTTGCAGAGTTGGAATACTCCTATCAAAGTACTTGGGGTATGCCATTGGGTGAAAATTGTAAATTCAATTCCATTTGGGAGCCCATCATTGAAAAAGTGGATAGAAAGTTGGCCTCTTGGAAGTGTGTCGTCTTACCTTCCTGTTTATCACTTGTCTTTGCTCCCAATTTCAGCAAATAAGGCTGCTGTGTTAGAAAGAAAGATGAGAGACTTCCTGTGGAGGGGGTGGAAGGAGGAGTCAAAATGCCATCTGGTGAGTTGGAACAAAGTCTGTTGTTTAAGGGAAAATGTGGATTTGGGAATCAGGTCAGTATAAGATGTCAACACTACCTTGTTTTGTGGAGATTCAATGACCAACTGGACAGTTTGTGGCATAGTTTTCAAGATGTCAAGGCGAGGCTAGGCGACAGGGCAGCGCCTTGTCGCCTAATCGCCTAGGCTATGGATTTTTTAAAGTAAAAAATACATATCCTAGGGTAGTTCCCTAGGTTCCATAACCATCTTTCCTTAATAATTAAAACTTCATGTTTAAGTCTAGAAAATCAACATATTTATGAGAAGAAAAAGAAGAAAGAAAAGAAAATTCAAAAAATATGGGGACTGAACCCCTATTTTTGTTATAGGAAAAGAAGAAAAGAAAAGGTGGAAGAAGAAGAAGAAGGAGAAGAAGAAGTAGAAGATGTGGAGGAAGAAATGTGTTGATTAGACAAAACTTTAAGTTTTTCCCTTACTTATTGATTTAGATTCTGAAGTCTTTGAGAGTTTAATACAGCAGTTAGCAATGTTTGTGTTGATTAAACCCTAACAAATAAGAAAATAATAAAAAGAAATTAGTTTATAAACACAAAAAATGATTTTTTTAGTCTATTTTATAATTATAATCTCAAAAAAGTAACAATATAAAAGTATTTTATAAGACAATATACAAAACTGCTTGGCGATTGGGTGAGGCGAGCCTCCAAGGGCACCTTGTCGCCTAGGCGCCCACCTAGGCGTCGCCTTGACAACTATGGTCTGTGGAGGAGGTTAATTGTATCCAAGGCTCCGTTTGGAATTAATGTACATCGATGAGGTTTTACATTAAACTGTAAAAAAGTGACCATTACATTGAAAAGCGTGGAGTTTTACATCGATTTTATCAATGTAGTGTTTACATCGATAATCGATGTAAAATTTTACATCAATTTATGACGTAAAACTCCACTCCATCCAAACGCCAACAAAAAAGAACCAGAGTGGAGTTTTACGTTGATCTTGATTTACACCCCTTCCAAATGCCAACAAAACCGAACCGGCATAAATATTTACATCGCTTCCATGTGCAGCCCAAGTATGGTTCCAGCAGCAGGGAGTGGGAGAAGTAAGATCCTCTTATAGGTGTTCAATTTGGAAGAAAATCCAGAAAATTCATCCAAAGTTTATGAAGGGTATAAAGTATGAAGTTGGCAATGGTCAGAGAGTGCTTTTCTGAAAGGATTACTGGTGTGGGGATGGACCATTAAGGGTCTTAATACCCGACCTGTTCAAGATTGCTACAAACAAGGGTGCAACAGTGGAAGATTACTTAGAGAGGCAAAATGGGCTTTGTATTTGGAACCCCCAATTCCAGAGGAATCTAAATGACTGGGAGGTGGCTTCTTTGGTCAGTCTGCTCCAGGTTCTTTATGACTCGGGAGCATCTAGAGTAGGGGAAGAGAAAAGAAAGTGGTTATTTGAGAAATCAGGGACCTTCTCTGTAAAATCTTTTTACATCTTGTTGGGGAGGATATTTCTTCCTTTCCAAGTGACAGGATTTGGATAAGGTCTGTTCTGTCAAAACTGGCTTTTTTTTTTGTATGGTTTGCTGTGCTGGACAGGATCCTAACACTAAGGACAATTTAGTTATAAGAGGTGTAGAGGTGGCGAATATGGCTTGCACACTATGCAATGGAAGTGTGGAATCTTCTAGCCATTTGTTACTACATTGTGATTCCACTTACTGGATTTGGATAAGACTGTTGGATTTGTTTGGGATTAATATATGTTTCCCGGCTGATGTGAAGGGATTCATCGGAGCTTGGTATGCAAGTGGATTAAGCAGGATGGAAAATTAGCTTGGAACTTCCTCCCTTCAACAGTCTTTTGGGCAGTGTGGTGCAAAAGAAACAGCAGAATATTTGAAGAGAGACAAAGTGCAAAAGCAGAGGTGTTTAGAAGGATTTTGGGAATGGTGCATTCCTGGCTGGCCGCTGGCAAATCACCCTCTATTAAAAAATAGACATTCATATTTTTTTTTTATCATGGTTTCCTTTTTGTAAGGAGTTTATAGTCTTTTTGGTTTGGGGCTGATTCTGGGTATACTGGTTTCTTTCCTCTTGTACAGGTTCTCTTTGTACAGGGGTTTACATAGTTGTATGGTTTTAAGATTAATAATGAAATTACTTTACCTTACAGTAAAAAAAAAAAAACAATGTTTACAGCCCTTTACTTCCAAAATACCATAACCATGTAATCAGCCGTGGCTGAAGACAAAGCTTGGGCTTATCCTGAATTGAATCTTACACAAGTATTTACTAAGGCTTCAAGTGGAAACACACTAATTAAGGATAGATCCAAGCAACAAGGTCTCACAAATTAGTGAACAGGGAAATGGTTGTAAACTTGTGCTGTAGATCTAATAAACCTCATACTTGAAACTAAATTGAAATCTTAGATCTACTTCAGTTATTCTGTTTAAACCAAAAAGGACATGGGCAGAAGTAGTGAGCAATGATTTTGGTGCCAATAATTTAACAATGGATATAGCATTAAACAGAATGGAATGGCAAAACAGGATTCATGCAGCTGACCCTATATAGTTGGGATAAGGCTTGGATGGTGATGACTTCAGTGACAATTTAACTTAATAACTTCATAACTCTGTTGTGATTAGTCATCTTACCTATTTCCTTGTAATGACTTCATGGTTGTGAAGTTTGCAAATGTATTTGGATGATAGAATTCCTTTCAAGTTCTTTGAAGCAGTTGGAATTTCAGATGAATGGTATCTAATTGGACTTGCATGTTGCCAGGTAACACTGAGGATTTGAGGTTGATAGTCCCGAAACTATCATATTATCATCAGGTCTGTGAACATATTCATACTCCTGGTATGTAGTTTTAAAGGCCAAAATTTGAAGTGAAAATCTCTGGTATTTCTTTTATTCTTTATTTCTGTTGCAATTTCCATAGCAAGATAATTTGGTTATGAAATGAATTTCTTGGTTATGAACTGATGCTGTCAGGTGTTTTTTCTTCTGAAAAGTAAGTGGTTTGTTTTTTATTCTATAGATTTTGATGCATATAAGATTTTCGTCTTTGTAGACATACGCTATAGAGTGAAGATGGTGAAGTTGACTATGGTAGCTCGTGTTACTGATGGCCTTCCACTGGCTGAGGGACTAGATGATGGCCGTGATCTAAATGATGCTGAATTTTATAAACAGCAGGCTAAGGCTGTATTCAAGAACTTGACAAAGGGCCACAATGAAGCTTCAAGAATGTCAATTGAAACTGGTCCTTATGTTTTTCAGTATCCTTTGCATGCTTCAAGAATGTCGTCTCAATATTTCCATATCTAATATTTTCCTGATATCTCTTTGCATGTGATTGGAACTTATTTTCCTCATTGTTATTGTTACATTGTTGTCTAAGTATTAAATGGATTGAGCCATTTGGAGAAACATGATGTGAAATTTTGTAATAAGTGTAAATATTGTCTTCATTTGCATATTTTGTAACAATACATGACTATGAAATTGTTGCAACATGTTGTTGGTAGTTATCAAAGGCAAAACACAAGTGGCAAGGCTCTGAAGCTCAGCTTATCTAGACTAATGTAAGTGCAGTTGGTGAAGCACATCTTTGCACCTATGCACCTCAATAAAGATATGGATATTTGTGTGTGTATTTGTTTTGTTGTTTCCTTATATATAGTAGCTACAATGGCTAGTGCTAATAAAGTTCCATTTAGTGTCCTGACTCCTATGACCTCTGTTGAACTGCAACCCAATCCCAAAACTGGGTTTTGAAATGACCAGTTCTCCAAAACATTGACTTGGTAAAAGCCTTCATAATAGCCATACTAATGGTATTTTTTTGGTAAGTATACTAATTGGTGTTGTGCAAGAAAGAAATAATGCTTTATAGAGTATGTGTGTTAAGGCAGTGAGACTGAAGCTTGAGCAACAATAGTGAGCTTGAGGGGAAAGATAATGGAAGTGAATGACATCTCTCAAAATCATTGGCCTATTCAATGGTATTAGTGGAGTATTCCTTGATATGAGCAACAATAGACTACCGGAAATGGCTCCTGCAAATCTCTGCACTACACTGCATGACAGCTGCGTATAATGAAATTAATGGTTATAAATTAGAAGTGGAAGATGGAGGGGGAGAGAGGATTCAGATCTGTAGGAAGATGGAGAGCTGAGGTGTCGATTGAAGCTAAGACCTTCAAGTTTGAAGAGGAATGGGTAAGAGGTAAGGAAGCACTAAAGATAAGAGAGAACAACAGGGCGATAGTACTGGTTCTAAATGAAGTCATCGTATGGATGAAAGGATTTGTAGATGGGGCTATCAACTCTGGCAAGGTGAATGGATGGAGAAACTCAATGTCAGTTCTAGGCAAGAAGTATGTAATAGAAATGAAGAGAAATTGGAAGGTGTGGTTCATCACAGTGGAGGAGCTCTTTGGAACATCTGGAAAACAGATGCTCTGTGTACTGGAAGGGAGAATGCAGAAAGGATGGAAGGTCTTTGTGAAGGTGCTGCTGTCCTTTCTTGAAGCATTGGAAACTAGAAAGATAGAAGGAGTGGAGGCAACTGGCCAAAACTTCAAAGACCAGGGGCGGAGACAGGAGGAGTCAGCGTCATTTGGAACTACTGAAAGTGCAGAAGTCCAAAACCTTCAGACGCCTGAAGTGATGGTGGCTTGTTCATCTATACATCGATGTATTCTGGTGGGAGCAGGGAAGGATGCTTGGAAGAAAAGAATGGTTCTAGTGGCTGATAAAAAAGTGAAAGACTGGAAGAAGGTCCTGGAGGTTGTTGCTGGTGAGATAGGTGTTGGAGATGAACCAACACTGGTTCCATTTGCAGATACGAAGGCTGTGTTGGATGTGGGCGATCAGGAACTGAGCTTTAAAGCTGTAGCAGTGGATGGGGGCCTTATACAGGTCCAGAACTGGAGCCCCATCTGCAATGAAGTTGCAATCCAAGATGGGTGTGTTAGGTTGAAACTTGTAGGTCTCCCATTCCACCTTTGGCGCGACTCTGTTCTCGAACACATTGTATAGAGTCTAGGAGGAGTCTTGGTGGAGGCTGATAAACGGAACTTGGTCGCTGTCGAGGTACAAGTGACATGCATCAAACATGAGAATATGCTGAGGTTTTTTGAGGTTTGTTCGGATGATATGTGGTACAAAGTCTGGGTAGCTGCGGAACTTGAACAGGCGTTGTGGGGAGGAGGATCTAAGGTTGAAGATGATGAGTCAGCGAGGTGGTGGACACGTGGAAGGAAGAAAGTGGGCGGTGAGAAAGGGGTGCAGGTGGACATTAAAGGAAGGATTATGGGCCGGCTGGGGCAGCCCAAACGATAGGCCTATTGTTTAAGGAAATTAATTCAAAAAATTTTGAAAGAAATAAACTTAAAGCGGGCTCATTAAGTTATGCTGACATGGCAAGGAACCCGAATGGACCAGGGGGTAGACTGGCTCAGTTCGAGCCGGTCGAGGTGATAGGAGGGTTGGGTGGGCCGATGAGTAAACCAAGGCCTTTTTTAAGTGACCCACGTGACAACTTAAATGGCCACGTGGGTCGGGGTAAGGGGAGGTTACCACGAACGATGATAGATGCTGGTGTCGGTCTATCATTGTCCCGAAAGAGAGAGGAGGGTTGGAAAACTTACTAGCAGCAGTGCACAAATAGGTCAGGAGATCTATAGTGGATCCCTTGCTGGAACAGGGAAGAGGGGAGCTCCGGTCGGCAACTTTCAAAGAGGCCAAACCCACGATACTCTAGGGAGAGAGCCGAAGAGAGAGAGGAGGCGGATGAAGGTTGGATGATGTGCAGTGGCGATGAAGATGAATCAGATGAAGGGGTAGAGGATGGCACCAGTATCGGTAGTTTGGGTGAAGAATATGATTACGGTACAGATGACAGGGGAGAGTGGGACATTGCGAATATATTCCGGGACGACTCAGAGGAGGACGAGAGGTGTGTAAGAGGAGGCCAGGAAGGTCAGACAGAGGAAGCAAGAAGCTTGGGACCCCATGAAACAAGCAAAACTGAAGATCTGAAGCGGGAAAACCTATACCCAAGACCTCGGATTGTGCAAGGCACAAATGAAAGGGCGAACCAGTAGAACCTGAAGTAGAGCTGGAACATACCAATCAGGGGTGAAGTAGTACATAGAAGAGTTCACCATGTTGACCAAAGGACAAAAGGACTCTCCACCAACCCGGGGAGACAGATATTGACCAACCTCGGGAACTAGAAAGGGAGGCCGGGAACAATCCTAATCCACTTTCCCTCTCACACCCAGGTAATCAAGTGAATTCGGATCTTGTTACTAATGCTTTTTCTATGTCTTTTGTTCTGGATTCTGCTTCCGATCCATGCCTTGATGCCCATGTATGTGCAGTCAATCAAGAGGGTGGCGTTTCGGAGGTGTTGGAAAGGGAGGTGAAGAACAACGGAGAGGAGCGGGAAGCGAGATATAGAAAAGAGAGTGTGGGCAATTATTGAGAGGGTATTCAAAGAGGTTGAAGGAAATGTAATATGGAGAAAGGGTGAAGAGGGGAGGGTGCACTGGAGAGAAGGGAAGAACAGGAAGGCAGGGAAGGAAAGGATAATGTGGAGTACACAATGGAGGAGGGAGGAAATGTGGTAAGGGTGAGGGATGGAGAGGAGAGAGGAGGGGAGGAATCAGAGGAGAGGAAGATAGGGCCGAAAAGGAATGTGTGAGGAAGGTCAGTGGGGGAGGAACCTACGCAAGAGGATCTGAATGTGTGAGGAAGGTCAGTTGGGATGTAGATTAGAAGATCTGAATGTGCTGAAGGAGGGGTTACAGAAGAGGAGGAGAGAGGTCAAAACAAAAAAGAGAAAATTGAGTGAAGTTGAGAGATTGAAAAGAGATGTGGAAGGTGGTAAGAAGTTTGGGGCAAAGGGGATAGGAGGAAAGGGGGAAAGTAGTGGGTAGGTGTAGAAGGGAATTAAGGAAAGAGTGAAAATGAAGATACTAAGCTGGAATGTGAGGGGAATAGGAAGTGCAAGGAAAACAACAACAATAAAAGAGGTAATAAAGAGGTATGACCCAGACATCGTAATGTTATAGGAGTCCAAGAGGATGAAGTTTAATGATAGATGGGCAAGAGTGTATGGAAAGCGAGGGGGATCAGTTGGGTAGCATCTCCCTCTTGGGGTGCTTCAAGGGGGATAGTGACTATGTGGAAGAGGGATGTGGTAGAGGGATTGGAGGAACTGATTGGAAAATTCTCAATTTCCATGAAGTTCAAACAACAAGAGGATGGATATGTGTGGGTGCTCACAAATGTTTATGGGCCAAATGATTATAGAGAGAGAAAGGAATTGTGGGCGGAATTGGCTGATGTAAGAGGACTGTGGGGTGGGCCTTGGTGTGTGGGTGGAGACTTCAATGTGATTAGATACTCAGAGGAAACAAATAAGACCAATCAGAGGGTGACAACTAGCATGAGGAAGTTTAACAGGGTTGTGGATGTCTTTTAGCTTAAGGAGATACCTCTAGTCTAGAAGACTTTTACTTGGTCAAATCTCCAATCTAGACCCATTTGCTCTAAGTTGGATAGGTTCTTGTTTTCTTTGGATTGGGAAGAACACTGGGGGAACTTGGCATCTAGAGCCCTACCTAGGGTGACCTCGGATCATTGGCCCATAGTGATTTGCAAGGAAGAGAGGAGTGGAGGACCTGCTCCTTTTAGATTTGAAAATATGTGGTTACTCCATCCTGGGTTTACAAATAGGGTAAGGGAGTGGTGGAATGAGTGTAACCCAGTGGTGGAATGGGAGGGGATGAGATTTCATAAGAAGCTACAATTTCTAAAAGCCTTGATTTCAAAGAAAGGAAGAGAACTTGGATGGACAAAATTAAAAGCCTTGATTTCAAAGAAGAAAGGGGAGAATTTGGAGAGGGGGACAATGAACTAAGAAGAGACTTGAGAAGACAGATAGAGGACTGCCTACATAAGGAGGAAGTTAGATGGAGGCAAAAATCTAGGTGTAAATGGTTGCAAGAGGGGGACAAAAATACTAGGTACTTTCACTCTTTGGCAGAAGGACAGAGAAGGAGAAATTTCATTTCCAAACTGGTTGTGGATGGAATTGAGTTAACAAGAGGAGATAGCTAGGGCATGTGTAGAACATTCTAAATCCATTCTAAGAAGGCTTGTAAGTGGAAGAGTGTGGGTGGAAGGATTGGACTGGCTAGATGTAGGGAGGGGGGGGGGATAACAAAAGAAGTTTGGAGAGGGGGTTTGACTTGGAAGAGATTAAGGAAGTTGTATTTTCTATGGATAGAACAAAAGCTCCAGGGCCGGATGGTTTTATAATGGCTTTCTATTAGGATTGTTGGGATTTTCTGAAAGAGGGCCTTCTACGGGTTTTTGAGGAGTTTCATAGCAGAGGAATTATTAATCCGGGGGTGAACTCCACTTTCATTGCTCTAATTCCCAAAAAGAAAAAAGCCTTACACCCAAGGGACTTTAGGCCAATTAGTCTGGTCAATAGCCTGTACAAGATCATTGCAAAGGTGTTATCTTTGAGACTGAAGAAGGTATTGCTAGACTTAATTGAACAAAATCAGGGTGCCTTTGCGAGTGGAAGACAGATTACAGATCAAATCCTCATTGTCAATGAGAGTGTGGAGAGTTTCAAGAAGGATAAAAAGAAGGGGGTGGTTTGTAAATTGGATTTGGAGAAGGCATATGACATGGTAGATTGGGAATATTTTAGGAAAGTCATGAGAGTGTAAGATTACAGATCAAATTCTCATTGCCAATGAGTGTGGAGAGTTTCAAGAAGGATAAAAAGAAGGGGGTGGTTTGTAAATTGGATTTGGAGAAGGCATATGACATGGTGGGTTAGGAATTTTTGAGGAAAGTCATGACCAAATTGGGGTTTGGAGCTAGATGGTGTAAATGGATCATGGGGTGTGTTTGGAACTGTCATTACGCAATACTAGTAAATGGGACAGTGGTAGATTTTTTCCCAGCCACTAGGGGTATAAGACAGAGTGACCCCCTATCTCCTTTTCTGTTCTTACTTGTTGCTGATGTGCTGGGAAGGTTGATTCATAGAGCAGACTCTAGGGGCCTCATTAAAGGATGAAGGGTTGGTAGGGAGGACATCCCACTCACTTACAGTTTGCTAATGATACGATCTTGTTTTGTGAAGGAGGTAATGTGAGGTTCATCAGGAATTTGAAATTAGTGATTCAACTTTTTGAGTAAATGTCAAACCTAAAAGTGAACTTCGGGAAGAGTTGTTTAGTGGGTGTGAATATGGAGGAGGGAGAGGTTAGGGAGAATGCAGAAGTGCTTGAGTGTGAAGTCTCAATTTGGCCTTTGAGTTATTTAGGTTTGCCCCTAGGTGATAATCCCAAGAGAGAGTTTTTGGAGCCTGGTGGTGGAGAGATTTGAAAAAAGGCTTGCTTCTTGGAAAAAAGAATTATCTCTCCCTTGGTGGAAGGACTACACTGATCAAGGCCACGCTAGCAAACTTACCCATTTATTTCCTTTCAGTGTAGAAAATTCCAGTGAATGTTTCCAATAGGTTGGAGAGATTAATGAGAGATTTCCTTTGGGAGCCGGGAGAAGAGAAGAGGGACCATAGAGTTAAGCTAGAAAATGGTGACCAGGAGTAAAGCTTGTGGAGGTTTGGGGCTCGGGAATATCCGGAAAAGGAACTCGACCCTCTTGGGAAAGTGGTTGTGGAGTTTTCCTTTGGAGCAGGAGAAGCTATGGGCTAGAATAGTGGCAAGCATACATGGGATGGAGCAAAATGGATGGGATGTTGGAATCAGAGCAAGGTCCACAAGAAATTCACCTTGGAAAGCCATTCATGATTTGCTTCCAGTCTTCTTCCCACTTGTCAGGTATGATTTGAATTCTGGCACTTGCATAAAATTCTGGAAACAAACTTGGGTGGGGAATGTTCTACTTAAGGACCAGTTTCCTTCCTTGTATGCCTTCTCTAAGTTTAAAAATAAGCCAACTTCTTTTTTCATCACCCCTTCCTCCTCATGTTCTGGGTTTGGGTGGAACTTGAGATTGAGGAGGGCTGTGAGGTACTCTGACCTCCACAGTGTCTTAAGCCTCCTTTACCTTCTTGATAATGTCTTCATTGACCCCTCTAAGGTGGACTCTAGAACTTGGACCCCGACCCCCACGGGCACTTTTTCTTGTGCTTCCTTTTTCAAAGTCTTATGTTAGTGAACCAGTCCTGCAACCCCCCCCCCCCCTTTCCTAGTTAATGAGGTTTGGTGTAGACGAATTCCTCCTAGGGTTTGTAGTTTTTGTTGGGAAGCCTATCTGGAAAGATTCAATATTGGTGATTTGCTTCAAAAGAAGATAATCAATACATGCTTATCACCTCATTGGTGTGTTCTATGCAAAGCGGATGGGGAGACTGGTTTTCACTTACTAGTGTCGTGCCAATTTGCAAAGTCAATTTGGGAATGGGCTTTTTCTCTCTTTGGGCACAAGTGGAACCCTCCTTCATATTTGCAGAGCCTTTTTTCTCCTTCTTTGTTCAGGTGGCGCGTGAAAAGGGGAAGGACTATGTGGAGAGGACTGAGGGCTGCAGTATGCTGGTCTTTATGGGAGGAAAGAAATTTTAGAATCTTTTCAGATGAAGAGAGAGGGGCTGAAGAATTGAGGGTTGTGATCCATATCAGGGCTGTACAGTGGCTGAAATCTCTAGAGCTATTCACAAATTACACAGTGGATGACATGTTGAGGAAGTGGGGTGAGATTGCAAGCTGTATGAAGTCCAAATCAGTTGTGAAGGTGTCTTGGACACCCCCACCTGCTAGATTTTGAACTTTGATGGGAGTTGTAGGGGGATTCCTGGACATTCAGGGATTGGGGGTGTTTTTAGGGCTGAGACGGAGTTATTTCAGCCATGTTCTCAGGTCCAATTGGATTGGGGGATTCTCTTAGAGCTGAGATCTTAGCAGTTATGGAAGGAGTTCAGAAAGCTAAGGAGATGGACGTCAGAAAACTCATAATTGAAGGGGACTCGGAGGTGGTGATAGGGTGGCTGAGGAAAGACAACTGTGGATTATGGAAGTACAGCAATGAGAAAAGAAAGTTCAAGTGGCTGGTGCGGGAAATGGAAATCAGGATGAGTTGGGTTAAAAGATCAGCTAACTCTATAGCTGATGGGCTAGCTAAACAGGCGATAGAAAGGGATGCAATGTTTTGGGCTAAGTTGTAACTAAATTGTTTCTTTTTTTCCTTTTCTTTCTTTGAGGACTTAAGTTGTTTTTGGAAGATAAGAGTGTTT